AGACTGACTTCCGCCCTCTCTTCGACGTTTTTCCATCCGCGATGCCTTTCTGGGGCATCGATCGCAGATTACTTCGTCGGAACTTCAAAACTGATTACTGCGAAGCGAGTGAGATATTTTGTATTGCAAACGCGAGAAAGTCAAAGCTACTGCTTTTTCGATGTATTAACTATGTCCGAAAAAATATTTCGCAAGTAAAAGGAATAATATATGTGTATCCCAGGTGGCTGCAAAGAGTCGGTCAAATGAAAATTCTTTGAATTATATTGAAAACGTGACACTAATAAATAGTTTTGATCGAGCAAGTATTTCGTTCTATCCAGTAAAGTTAATGATAAAATGGAATATCTTAAGATATAATATTTGCTGAAACGTAACGTTAATTGTAATGTTGATGTTAAAATATAATTAATTATGATATAATTGTTAATAGAACTTGATACATTAATGAGTCATAATTTCGTCTTTATTTGATACAGGAAATAAAGATTTAACTCACTTATGTTTTTCTAATAAGCACGAAAGTGTACTACTATTATTGTAATATCATTCTTTTAACACAATAATATTTATCAGAAATTCGATCAACTCATGTATATCACATTATTGACAGATACTTTACTGGTCTAGCCTGATAATCAATCGATCGATATTAAAGTTGACAGATTGTCAACTTTAATATCGATGGAATATTTAAATGATGTAATGCCTTATTGCTTTTCAAAGACACATGAAATAACACACACATATATTAATATGTAAGCATGTGTGAAATTGGCTGCGTTCAGCAGAGAAAACTAATCAGTTAGCGCTTAATGATTCTATAATATGATTGGCTCCTACACTTAGATTCAACGAAAAACCAAAAGCAAGAACTAATTATATTAAAAAATCATAAAGCGCTAACTGATTAGTTTTCTCTGCTGAACGCAGCCATTTATTTTTCAATAATAAAACACTTCAAATTATGAATCAACAAACATACCATGCAACGTAAAAATAAGAAATTAAAAGTTTCGAGAATCAGTAAGTAACTAATGTCTATCTATTCAAAGAAAAATATTATATAATAAAATTTTTTGCATTTGAAAACTTTATTTAACAATTAATTGTAATAAATCAGGAAAAGAGAGTCGTACACGACTCTGTACATAAGTGCGTTGCTCGTTAAGAAACATGATGCTCTGTTTTAAAGACCGACTCCTTCGAGAGAGAGAAAATTCTCAGAGAACTCCTCAGTACTCCAGTAATTGAGAAACAGCCAACGGCCATCGTAAAACGTAACGTAGAAAAATACGCAGTGCCCGCAGCAGTTTCGTAGGAAGGCTTTTTCCATTCGGCCGAGAATAACTCACGATCGGTAGGCGATCAGTACGACAAGAGGGGAGGACGAGAAAAGGTCTAGAGGCTTGAAATCTAGTCCTTTTCGAGAAAATATTTCGCACGAGACCGGCGATAAATCGAATGACTTATTACTGCGAGCCGCGTAATCTCGGACTCATTCCAAAGAAATGTGCTACGCCATCGAAAATAGATATGTCGCGAACCAGATCCATTCAAAAACACGACCATGAATTTTACATCAGAGAGTCAAGTTAAAGCTAACAGATTCTGAATCGAAATTAAATCGGGACGCTCAGCCGAGGAAGCCAACGAAGAAAAGAGAAGTTGCCCATCATTCTCCACTTACTGCACTGATTGATTTACGACTAACACAATGAAACGAAGACAAGTGAAGCAATAATCGATCAATAAAGATCGCAGCATATTGGTAACAAAAAATATATAAAAGATATTTTATGATTATTTAATTTACAAATAATTTACAGAAGGATAACCGATAAAAACAGAGATAAAAAGGAAATATATTTTACGAGTTAATTGGTTGTAATACACATAATTATAATCCATAATTATAATTTTCAATTCGATGTGATTTTATGAAAATTAGTTTACAACATTCGGTAGATAATGTATATATATTGTTGATAGAATTAATATTTTATATTTTGATATATTTAATGCATACATTTTTGTGTATTGAAATTTGATGCAGAGAATAATAATAGAGATGTACCTGTAAAAATTTATCAAAGCACTTAATACTGAGGGATTGTTTGGACCAAACAAATTTTTATCGCTTTGCTCGACGACCTTTAACACATGAACGATGACGGCGAAGGGATATTAATGCCGCGGCTCCATCTCAACGAACCAATAAATTCCGAGTTTAAATCCGGCGGTTTAACTTTAGTGTTGCTGAACGATCACGCGAGTTCAATCGTCGCACGATATTTCGCTTCAGAATGTTTATCACGAAACTTTGGTATTCCCACTAACTTATGATTCCGCATATTTTCTCGCTCGAGTAAAGCCACCTTTAACTTTCTAAATGTATTCGTTGTACTTCAATCGCGAACCGAGTCAGAAAAGAAAAAATTCCAGTGTTAAAATATCACTTCATTAAAATAGATATACTTAAATATTTTTTTCTTTTGTTTTTCTCGCTTTTTACTTGTCTTCATTGCATTATACAAAATTTATGCGTATAAATACTTGAAAACTGCAAAGACTTCAAAATCAAATAAAGAGAGCCTAGGAAAAATTACAATAGAATTCAGAGTTAATTAGAGTTCGAATTTTTTTAACATCTATGTTTGGTCTTCTTTTACAATTTTAGTTTTACAATTTCAGTATTCAATTTTGACAAAAAACTTTTTTCGAAAATCGCAACAAGTTTTTAACGGTCAAAACCTGTTTCCGCAGAGATTAACGTCATATTGAAAATTGTCCTAGAAGAAGCTAACGCCAGCCATGTCGAAACTTTGCTATAGCTGTTCGCGACATGTCGATGATTTTCCGAGAGAGTTTCTCAAATCATGCGATTTAGGGCGCCGATGCGCTGTGACGGCAGATCGCACCGCAGTTACAACGATTCTATTATACGTTGTATTGTTACTGAACGTGTCATCCGTAATTATGATTGACGAACCGATTTATTATTACGCGTATGCGCATCACTCTTAGTAATCAGTTACGCATAAATCATATAAATATCATACTATCCATATATATGTACGTAAATTGTATATATGGCGAAGGTTCATATATATATATATATATATATATATATATATGATAGCAGATTTTTCTTATTGCGTTATATACATGTACATATGAAATGATACAATAAAATCAATATTTATATTTAACAGTACAATTTTATAGTTTTTAAATAAATATTTTATATAAATTTTTTTTAAATTTGTTTACTCCTTATTAAAATAATTTTTTTATCTAGATTCTGAATCGTGTCAGATTTTCTATGTTAGTTTCAAATATAATATAGAAAAATCTATTACTCTCCTAAATTTTTTTATTTTATTAAAAAATAATATGTGTAATACACTTTTAACTTGAATTTTGAATGTCTACAATTACTATAGTTATGTCTCATATGATTAGCTTTATTGATATGTATTGATTTTTTACTGTATTTAACACGTCGATCGACTAGAAATGTCTGTGGTAAAGATGGCTTATAATATAAGTCGCGGGAGTGTCGTTCGTTAAATTATGTACTCGTCTAAAGTTATTTTCGGATTTCTATATCAGGACGGAATAGTCGAACGAAGTGACACGAGTTGATAGAAGTCGCCGCGTGCAGAAATCTCTTTAATACAAGTGTCCTTGAATACTAATAGACGAAGATATATTATACTTATACACATCTTTTGATTTCATAATAATTTTATAGTAATATTAAAAAATTTATAAAAACCGACTATTATTATTATAGATAAAAAATTATGCAATTACATATTCTTAGATTATTATAAATAATATTAAAAATCAAATATATTGTCTAAATCAGCTTCTAAGAATGTATGGGCCATATCTCGAAATATTATCAAAAATATAATATATAATATATAAAATTTCATACACTGTTACTTGTATACATTACGTCTAAATATTTGTATAAAATTTGAGCACAATTCTTTTATTAAAGTTAAAAATTATTTAAGTCTTTATTTGTCTTGATTTTTACATAAAATCGTGTTTACAATGCTTATTTGCAAAATTGAAGAAGAAGAATTAAACTTTATATTTAAACTGATCAAATAATAATATAAATAAATTAAATTAAACTTTATATTTAGACTGATCAAATAATAATAAATATTCGTGCAAAAATTTATTTTTGTGGATCCATTTACTCGTTTAAAAGTTATTCATCTAAAATTGCAAAAAAATATAATTACTTTGCTGCATAAAACCATTATAAGCCAAATTATTTGTTTTGTTATATTTGTAGATGATTTCAGGATATTTGTGAGCTAATATTATAACAATTTTTTAGTGATATTGGCTGATATTAGCTTATTTTGACTGATATTTTTAACTGATATTAGCCAAAACATCCTTAAGCAGATTCATATCTTTTGTCAGAAAATAAGTACAATGTACAAAACAAGTATTTTGAACAAAAAATTTAGATTCATATTAAAAAAATATTCAAGCAATGAGCAAACTTTATAAAAACCGTGCCATTAATAATTACTACGTTGAAAATAATGTCTAGTTAAAAATAAAGGAATCAGAAGTTTCTGATTATATCAATCAGAATTCCGGCTACCTTATAATTAGAATTTAATAGAGTTAATTAGAAAATGCTGATTCGTTTCATTTTTAATTCTAATTAATTCAACCAGACATTTTTTTTCAGTATAACATTTATTATAGCTTTTCAGTAATCTCGAAATATTCATTATTTATTATATCTTTCAATCGATAGATGTAAAGGCCTTTTTTATTCGAATCGTTAAGAGTTCATAGTTCCCTCTTTCGTCAATACTTTCAAGTCGTTCGAAGAAATATCGTTCGTGCTCTTTCGTTTCTGAAATGGCTTAGACGAGCGATAAAGAAAATCATAACGCGAGTAATGTTGCGTACAATCTCACAGTAAAATATCGAAAAGTGCATCTCGGCGAGCTTACCTTGAGGTAGGACGGTGAGCAAGAGGACTATTTGGAGACCGGCGACGATCGTATTATAAAACTTTATTCGCAACTGCGATAGACCTCTTGCCTGGTGCGCCATGGCAGATGAATTTTGCAGGCCCAGGTCGAGGCGCGACACCGACTTGCCGATGTTCATCTATCCGGTCCCGACGTGCCCCGTCGTGACCGTGATGCACTGCACAATTTTGCGTGTTCACTTCTACACGCAGCGGTCACCGCCGCGAGTATCGCCCGGAAGCGCTTTGTCACCCGCTGCGTCACTGATTATCATCATCGTGCAGGGTGTCACGAGTCGAGTTCAATTCCGCACGAATCGTCCGCTAATCGATACTCGATGCCCTCGCTAACGCACCCCCCGACTTCGCCGTCATAACCAAGCGTTCTTCCGCGCGCCTCGGTTGTGCGTATTTCGCGAGGTCTCGATCGCTGGAAAGTGGCGGCGTATTATTGTTTGCAGAGAGAACGCGCTACGTTCGCGCGACGGTGCTTCCCAACGTTTCGAGCATTCTCACGGGGGATCCTGAAAATAATGATTTCGTACGTGTGAACGACCCCTTCGCACCCACTTCTTATCGTGTGCGGCGTCGTTTCACGGAATGCATCTGCGTTATCTTTTGAATTCAGCGAGATCGCTTTCAATTGTTAATGCGGGCTGAAATAATACCCGCTGGCGAATCCTAATTACAACTTCTTAATCATGCGTTAGTTATAAGCTCGATTATAAGCCTTTCCTTGGCTAAAGAATCATGCATCAATCAAGATTTTAGATTTAGGTCAGATTAAAAATTGGTCAGCTCGTCAGGAAGATATAATTATTCTAGTAATATAAAATGCATCACTTAGATTTTCTAATGTAACATTCAAGCAAAATATTCGAGAATATAATATTTTTATCTATACAAAAATATTATAATAATACAAAATACTATTTGCTACGAGATAGTGAAATGTGAACATAGTGACATTTGAATGTTACTGTCATCTATCGCGATACTTCTTTCTGATATGTGCCAGTTGCGAATGTCGTTACTGGCATCGGAAACTTAGGCGATTTACAAGCGGGGCGGTTGATTTACTATTTCACTATCAGCAAGAAGAGATTTCTTGTATTCCCCTTGGAAAAACGTGCCACGACTGAAAATGATCGGTTTCTCCAAACCCCGATATCGTAAATTTTTCATTTTCTTGGTGAGAAAGAATTATTAACGCAATTGAAACATATGCAGACTAATAAATCAATCTTTGCGAGCTAAACCAATCTTTTGTAATCGAATAATTTATTAATATTATTACGAGAAAATACATAAAAGAACCCAATTATATTCGATGTAACGTATATTCAATTACAATATATTCAATATAATTAAAGTATTGAATTTGAACAAAATCATCAAAGACAAAAATATTGTAATGTATAATTTTATATTATCGAAAAAAGTTGAATATGTTGTCATATCTTGTACAAAAAAGATAAAAAATATTTTTATTTAAATAAACAAAAATATGTTTAAAAAATAAAAAAATAGAAATTAATAATCTTGCTATTTTCTCTCGTGCTTTAAAAAAATACGATACGGGAGAGCGCATTATAGTTTTTTATTCTCGCGTATTTATTTTCGCATGCAACATCATCGAAATACACTATTAAAAAGCATTTTCATATTTCGTCGCAATAATGCGCGAATTAATTAGCAACCCTTTCCACGCAACCGATCAGCCACTGATCACGAGTCCAGTATTACGATGACCTATTTATCGGAGGGATGCATTAAATGGCACGCCATTACCGCGGTTTCTGTCTATCGACGCAGGTAGCAATTTTTCCATTGTCTCGCACGCCTTAGAGAAGCAACAATGGCGCGAGTTTTAATCTTACAGGAAATGCGTCCGTGGAGTTTTGACGCTGCGACTAGTTTTGATACGAGAACATACCCAAGACTATATACGGTATCTTGCACACGGTATCGATCATTCATCAATTACGCACATGTCGCAGTGGTTTGGCATGCATTCCGTAAACGTATCGCCGGACTCTCGTCGATACGACGAGGCATATCTTGCCCCGAAATTTGCGAGAGCCCGCGCCCGGTTTACAGGTGTCCGTGGCGACTATGCTTCCTCATTCGATACCGAATGCTGCCGTTCTCCCCCACGCGGCGGCGTCCATCGTTACGAGTACTCTCACCCCGTTCTCAACCGACACTGGGGCTCACTTCGTTATTCGCTGATACCCATCACGTCGACGGTTCGATCAAAATTTCCGGTTGTGAACGCGAAATAACGTATAGCTGCGCACAATACGCTCAATATTCGCATGAACTTGTAAAAAGATTTTTTTTTGTAAGTACAAAATAGGATTCGCCAGAAGAGTTCACAGTGAACTATCTTGCAATTTCAAGATTCTACGTGCAGAAATTATTTTGTCGACACCAATGACTGATGCTCGATGAATGCAAAGACTAACTGTAATACCGCAAACGACGCCGCGGTTATTTTTTCGCGATTGACTTTTCTAGCCGCAAGCACGCTGCCGCGAGATTTCCGACCTATGTAAGCTTTCTCTTTCTCTCTCTCTCTCTCTCTCTCTCTCTCTCTCTCTCTCTCTCTCTCTCTCTCTTTCTCTCTCGGCGAGCTTCGAGAGGGACGCGGGTGTGCTATCGCGACTCCTGGCAGCACCACGGACCTGCGTTCGCGGCCTGGCCGGCGATCGTCTTCCTCGTCTCACTACAGTCCACCACACGTTCCATCCTCCCGCGGAACAGCACCACCACCTCCGCCTCCTTCGCTGCCTCCTACTTCACCGGAGCGCAACACGGTGTTGCCTGGTATCTAGGCAACTTCGCGGAGCGTGGCTGCTCCCTCTGCCAGCAGCCCGTTCCACGTAGGCAACGAATTCGCCGTTCTCTTCGCCGTTCTTGCTCGCGCGCGGCTTCAGTTATCTTCTTTTCCTATGATTTCTGGCTCTAGTCTCGTACTCCCTCTCTCTCTCTCTCTCTCTCTCTCTCTCTCTCCCTCCCTCCCTCTCTCTTTTTTTCTCGTCGCACTCGTTTCCTTCAACACGGATCACGCGTACGCGCGAATATACATTCTCGTATATCCGTATTCACCACACCGCCTCGTCCTCGTCGTTCTGCTTGTGCTACTTGCTTCGATCCTTTATCCGTAATTGCTTTCATCCGGCGAAGTCGTACCTCTTGCATGTACGAATCTGTCTCGCATCATGGGCACCGCGGGTTCAACACGAACGAGATGTGAACACGAGTAATCCGTAATGATGAATACCGGCGACTGTGACGACGAGCACGAAGATGAAGAGACGCGTGTAACCTCCCGTGTAAGCCGCACGCACAGAGTGTACGCCGCGAAGTGATCGGCCGAACGTGGCAACTCGCGTTAGACTGAGACAGCGGTTGGCAAAAGGGAAGACCAGAGAAATAGGAATGGAGAAAAAGAGGTGATGGAAAATAAGACAAAGAGATAAAAAGAGAGAAAGAGAGGGATTGGACACACGGGGGATGGAGAAAACCGCCTCGTCCCTGCGAACGGGTGTCCGAACCGGAAACCGAAACCCCTGAAAAAGGAGGCGGTCGGGGTCGTGTACGAGCTGCCGGTCGAGCTCTCGCGACTCGCAGCCACCGCCGCGATATAGACGCGAGGAGCGCTCCCCACGATGGCCATAACCCTCCTCCGCCACTTCCACCTCCGGAGAATCCACCCTCTCTAACGCCCCTACCTCCCGTGGCCACCTCCAGTTCCCACTACGATTTCGCGGGAGGCTGCGGACTGGACCAGCACGCAACCAGCGTGATCCCCACCACATCGCCAGAGTACCAGGGTAGTAGACTTGGGGGTGCGAAGACGCGGGGAGAGGGAGGTATCGAGGCAGGGCTCGAGGGGGATATCGCAGGGCGCGAGAAGGCGGGTGAGAACGGCGGTCCGGGGGTGGAGGAGAGAGTCGGAGGGCAGCATCCCCGAAGCCCACCCCACAGATCAATATTGTGCCCACCACCGTGTACCGGAGAACTTGCCTCATCTCTCTCGAATAACCGCTGCGCGCCACATGCCTCATCTCTCTTACCCCTAACCGCCCCCTTGCAAACTCCCGTAGCTCACGGCCGTTGCCGTGTATTGCGCACTCTATCTCTCTCCTCTCTTTCTCTCTCCCCCCACTTCTCTTCCTCTCCTCCTACCCCTTCTTCACCTATATTCTCGCCTTCCCTCTCAAGGGTAAGCGCGCGCGAGGGTGTACGTTGATTCTATCGCGAACCGTCGCAAACGATGCTGGAGCATGGTCCAAGTCCGCTAAGGGGGATTAGCCTCGACGGTCGAGATCCCAGGGACGGCATAGTTTCGATGCACCTAGGATGTCGACACGAAAGATAAGTAGAGCGCGGATAGATGTCGGGATTGACAAATGAATCGATTGTTTTTCAAGTTGTTGAGGAAACCGAATGTGAAGACGAGGTCGACCAGATGGTTGATGGATGGACAAAATGTTACTCTGTATACATATATGTATGTATATCCATGTTTCGCATCGTGATTGTTTGTCAATTAAAAATTGTACAAAAGAAAATCAAGTGACCTCCTTTGCAATTCTTAAGTACAAACAGTTGAACGTGCTAACATAAGTTATGATAGGTTTAAAAAGTGTAATTAAGTAGACGAATACTTTTATGGTTTCTCCTTTTTCTTAAAAAAAAATGTAGTAAAAATAATCATATTTTATGTAGACAATTTTTTTAATATTGATTAAAAGATCTGCTCTATTATATTTACAGCATATATATATGGTGTCCGGTAAGTTTTGATGTAGATAGAGCGGACTAAACTGGGTCGAAGAGTCCTCTACCAATTGCAATTGTTGTAATTTCTTTTTAGTTATCCAATGAACAGAATGTTTAAAATTGATGCATAAAATAACTTTAAGATAGCTTTAAGAATTTATTAAGAAACATCTTTAAGATTTTTCATAAAAAAAACTCTGGAAAAAATTTTAAAGTTGTCTTATGCATCGATTTTGTCCCACTTATTCGATAGTAGAAATTAATATCTCGTTCATTATTGCGAAAATAGCAAAATGGTAGAGGACTTTTCGACTCGTTTAGTCCTATCTACACAAAAGCGTTTTGTTAAAACTTACCAAACACTCTATATATGTTATACTATAATTATTAAAAACGATAACAGTAATCAATATTGTAATATATCAATAATTTCTTACTTAACATAATTGTTGTACAGAGAATGTGTTATATTACACATATATTAATGAGTGAAACATAATATTGATGTAATATCATTGTTGTTTATAATATGTGTATGTTATGCAATATCTCAGCGTATTATAAATGAATATGCTTTATATATATAATATATATAAAAAATTAAATAATAAATATGCAAAAAAATTAGTATAAAATGCTGTTTTATTGTTGATTATTTTATTTTATTTAATATATCTTGAATGATGTACGGAATTCAATGTAATAAAATGATACAAGTAGTTCTCTTACCAACAGCTGTATGCTAACAAGTTTGCAGAAAAATCACACAAGGCGCTTCAGTCAGACAGAACTCTAATTCGATAAAAATAGAATGCTGCGTTTTAATAATTTTCTTCGAAAAATTTGTTATATTAATTGACAGAAATTATTCGATAAGAAATAGACACAAATTTATTTTTATAATCTCAACCAAAAGCAATTTTTTTTAACTATTGTTGATAATGTAGCTCTTTCTTCAAAAAATCTTCAAACAACATTACCGAAGCATGAAAATGCAGTGCATCTACATGCTTTATAATCGATAACGATTATATCGGCCTTTATACTCATGTCAAACTCTCATAACATTTCTCTCAAGAATATTTTAGTCGAGAAAGGAGATTTCTTCAGTGTGGGAGGTTTCGAGTGGACGAGAGAAAAAAAAACATTAATTGAAAATTTTCTACCTGTACTTATACTTTCTTACAAAAAAATATTTTTAATATACGATAATATAAATAAAAATTGAATAGCAATCATATATGATTAGAACCATTTTTGCAATTATTGCCTTCTCAGTATTTCTTTTTTATTTGCATGATATCGTTTCAATTTATCATTTTTTAGATCGTTTTAATTCAGATTACTTCAGAACCAACTAATTTGATATGAAATAGTTGTAATAATCAGAAATACGATGAATGCCTAAAGTACAATCAATAAAACTTATTTATTCATCAATGTTACTCATTGATTTTACGTAATAATAGCATAGTCTGAATAAATTACATTAATAATTAATATCTACATAACTATATCTAATAACACTGATTAAAGTTCTCATTATACAAACTGGAACTGCAATTAACAATTTGTAATCAGCGATAAATAAACTTAGGTAAGTACATACAATCTAATCATTAGATATGTAGTGTTTTCCTAACTATTCTACAATTATAACTAATAATTAAACAATATCATTATTTTATATATATTGTCGAAATATGTAAAGTCGAAATATTCTACATGAACTACGACACAACAGTATAATGTACTTAATGGGACATTATCGTTATAAGTGTCCACGATAAAGTCCACGAGCGAGTAACGAGCAGTAAGAAAGAGAAGAGGTGAGAGAGGGAGAGATTCAGGGATTCAACGTTTTCCTTCATATATACGAGGTCGTTTACTCATTGTTATAACTTCCTTAGAAGCCATTACAAAGACGCGCGCTCCTCCATTCTAAGATAATTCGGCTGACACAAAGCACACAGCTACCCAAAGTTCACGAAGGGAAGAGAGCGCGGGCAATTTGCCATACGCTACATTAAATTTCACAAAAGCGGAAAGCGCTTGCCACGCTACCGTAAACACTAATCAAAACTATGTTTTTAGAGCGTGTTAGGCATCGCATTTGTACCCGTACCAGTTTAGAGCAACATCGAATACAATTACCTACCTACTCAGTATGCTAATTATCGCAAGACCGCCAGACATGATAATATATCGTCATCTTGCCCGCGCCGTTCCGAGATGGTCAAGGCTGAGATTCTCCTTCTCGCTTCCCAGCGAAACAATGCGCTCCTAAATTCGTACGTACCGACAAATTAATCGCGGAAAAAAAAATCATTGAAATGCAAATTTTTGCATGCTATAATCTCCAACCTTATCCTCTCCATTAACATATTCCAAGAAGTAGAAGTGAATTATTGAAACGACTAATTGTCTAATGATTGAGATACTCATAAATATTAATAGTAAAAAAGAGAGATTCCGACGTGGCACATCTATTAAAAAATAGTGAAAGCACGTATGAATCTGTCCATTCGTCTCGGATTATCGTGCTAAGACCAGCAAGTGGGTCTCTTGAGGGATTAGTTCAGAATGGTCAAGGCTACGGCTGAGACGGACGAACGGGCACGAAGAATGAGCGATGTTTTGTAGAAAGCAGGTATACACAAGTAGGAAGGGAAAGGTTTGCACCTGGCAACCCCAAGATAGAACCTAAACTCACGCCTCGCAGGCGCGTCTCTCTCTCTCTCTCTCTCTACACACAGTCCGGCCCATCCCACTCTCCACGGTCCATTCCTTACAGCCGGCTGTCCGTCCCTTTTTGAGAACCAGCCTGCTGGCCATGCACTCGCCCAAAATAACAGAAATTGTGGAGAAATCAGCGTTCCCCATGGACCATCCTTGCGGACCATTGTGGCGCCTCGAGGAGCAACAGAGGTTCCTCGTCGAGATGGAACATCACACACGTTATTGTGTGTCGCCGAGTTTTCGCTTCTTTGGATCGTTCTCGCATTGCCCAAGGGTGGTTTGACTTCTGCGCCCTTTTCAATCTCATTGCACTTTAATGCCAATTGCATGAGGCACCAGGTGTCACGGTAGTATCCCCTGACGTATCCCTCGCTTGTTCGCTTGATCGCTCGCTTGCTCGCGCTATCGCTCGTGAACTTTTATTTACGATGCGCGACGAATCCGATGCGGAACGCTCGGTTAAATGCACGCGAGGACAAAGTTCTCTCGTGTGTGCTCGAGGGGGTGAAGCAAAACCGCTAGCGATCGACCCGGGGTTTTCTCTCTCCGAACTTTGGGGTCAAACATTCGACGCTGGAAATGTCTATTTGG